CCTAATGAACAGTAATTGGCCAAATGCATCTCCACCCCTTAAAAATGCACTGGCCCAAAGTCTAGTCAATTCGTGTTAAAATATTATTAAATAGTAATTGTCCAAGTGCATAAATATAATTCTATTCATTCAATTAACCAATTCGAGAAATAATATCCATAAATAATTATCCATAATTCAAAACAAACCAAAACCAAACAAATAATTCCAAAAACATAGAAAAATTGTCCAAAAATTAAACCATAAACCGAAAATTTAGGGCAGGGGTTCAGCCACTAGAGGTGTAAAATGCCCTAACATGTCTTAGAAAATAAAACTTTATTCTTCCATGGGAGCGAATGTTTCTTGAAAATCTAAAACCTCCAGAGTTGTAGTAATATCTTTGGGATGTTCTACATGGGTAAAGTTAGACCCACGACAGGAATGATACTTGGCAATAGCCTCGGGGATAGCTCGGCATACGCGTGATCAATGATCCTTTGATCCACAGTGATAACACATGTCTAGTTTAGTGGAAGCTAATTGAACGGTAGTTTTTTCCTTGTTCTTGAAGTTTGGGGCTTTAGGGGCAAAGGGTTGGTGCTTCTAGGTCAAATTTTCTCCCTTGGGTGGGCCTCTGCTTTGTTGACCTTAGACCTGTGGTGGGGCTTGCTGCCCATTTCCACAGCCACGATGGGGTTTCCGTCGGTTATGGCTGCTAAAATTAGTCACATACACTTTAGGCAGAGCGTTCGAGCTAGTGGGTCGAGCTTGATAATTCATCATCAAAAGCTGGTTTTTCTTTTTTGCGAGAAGTAAAACAGATATCAAATCCAAAAATTTGGTGAACTTATATGCCCTTTATTGTTGCTGCAGAACAATATTGGTGGCATTGAAAGTCTAATAAGTCTCCAGAAGATCTTGTTCAATTAAGTCCTCTTTACAGAACTTAAGTAGTGGTCGGATTCTATAAACTTTAGAGTTATATTAATTCAAAGACTTAAAGTCTTGGAAGCGTAAATACTGCCAGTCGTGTCTTACTTTAGGTAAGTAAATGTCTTTTTAGTAATTGAAGCGGTCGGCCAGAGTGAGCCAGAAGGTGCGTGGATCCTCTTCTACGAGGTACTCGGTTTGCAGTGCATCATGGATGTGTCTGTGGATGAACATCATAACAGTAGCTTTCTAAGCTTCGTTGACGGGTTCATCGTCAATAAGTTCCCTCGATAGTAACTCTAAGACTCTTTGCAGTAATATGGAGCTTCACATCTTGAACCCACTTTAGGCAGTTTTTTTCCAGAGACTTCCAAAGCGATGAAATTGAGCTTGTTCAAGTTTGACATATCCCTAAAACGGAGGGTACAATAAAACGTGGTTAGTGGTATGGAAAGCCATGGACATATATCGTAGAACATGCAGGTTCTATAAACATGTGCTAGTTTAATTTAAGCATGAAAGCTACGAGTTTCATGTGGTAAGTTTTGAATGAAAACTGCGAGTTTCAAAGGCACTAAATTTGAAACTACATGTTCGATTTAGTTATGAACGTTCAATTCATATATAGGGGTACCTGCAAGAACACAGAAGACAATATACAATAAAGTGTAGTGAATTTGTGGATTGCTTCAGGCACCCAAGTGTGAGTGCATCGGGACTACGAAAGATTGTCAACGGTTCAAAGAAACAAAATAATTTATTGAATTGTTAATTGCCAAAAAGTGAAATTTAGGCCAATAATTTTGGATTAATTGTTAGATTAATGGACTGCTGGTCACTTTAATTAATTCAATAGATCGTAACCATTCAGGTTTAATTGTAGAAGCAAAAATAATAATAACATTCGAATTAAAATTATAGAGAATGCCAAAAAATAACATTGGATTTGAAAAACCATAGCCCAATATCGGTGGGCTTGGGTGCCGTGTGCAAGGCTAGGCCCTAAAAGCGCTTAGTGGGCCATGGGTTGGCTACGGAGCAACCCAATCATGGTTGCAAGCCACGGGCCGAGGTTTTAGGATAGGCCTAGCAGCGCCGGGGAACACGGGCCCAGCTCAGAAACTAGCCAGAGGTGTGCACGCGAAGCCTAGCCGCAGGCTAGCTTCGGTTTGGGCTTAGGTGCCAAAAGCCAAAAGCTTGGCTTTGGATCACAGGCCGAGGCTAGGACAAAGCCTAGTTGTAGGCTGGCCAGGTCATGTGAAGCCCAACAAGGCTTTGAGGGTCTGCTGGTGGACTCAAGGCTTCAACCCCGTATGGAGACCAACCCAGGTCGTGCTATGCACTAGCGTCGAAACAACGCCGTCCTGGTGATGGCGTGGCTGGAAGTTAGCCATATTGGCTCGACAGCGTAGCATGGAGCTACAACTCAATTCCAAACAAAAAAAGAATCGAATTCTAGGGTTAAAACCCCTAATTGCTTCTATTAATTTCGATGCTTTGACTCACAAATTCCACATAGCATAATTGCGTATTGCATGAACAAATATATATATATATATATATATATATATATAATTGAAAGGAAAATATAAATATAGGGGGTTCATGCATCATAGGGAATGTTTTCATGCTTCAAGGTTGTTTCAAATATCTTAATTTATTTTAAAAGAACCTGATTGGCAGAAAATAATTGAAAGCTTTAATGTTGTAGAAGAAAGCCTCATCCACGATCCTTCAATTCCGTAGCTTCTGGCAAGAGCATGTTGATAACGTGTTGTAGGCCTAATTTATTGAACTGTATTTAGGACAAAAGAGGGAGAGGGCCAGCGGCAAGAGAGATAGAAGAGAGAGATGTAATTCTGAGGTGTGTGTTATATCACCCCATTGTGCCTTTATTTATAATAGTAGGATAGGTTAAATCCTTACCCTAATAGGATTACAACTCTAATAAGAATTTAACTACTAAAGGGAATATACAAAGATACTCCTAGATACACTAGGATTTACACAGTCACATTCCTAATCTAATAGGACTGCAATATAAACTACATTTTCTCTTCTTACAGATATGTTTTTTCAATCACAGTTTTTTTTTTTTTTTTTTTTGGTTTTGAAAACATTTAATATTATTTATTTTTCCAAATGTTTTTTTATTGGTTTTTTTTTCTTCAAATAGTTGGTGATTTAACATAAAAGTTTCGTGTAATAAGGGTTCAGGATTTTAAACTCGGGGGGTCCCAATAATAAGGGTCAAAAAATTAATAGACAAAAATAACTTTGAAAAGTTTAATTATAACATTGGAGTTTTATTCTTGGGTCTCTTTCAAGATTATTCAAATCAATGTAACACTGATTTTGTCTTGAACTTGAATTATCTGAATAAATAAAGGGTGCTATTGGTTTTGGTTTGAAAAATCTTTCCATGTTTCTTATTTCTACATTACACAATTGATAAAAAAAAAACACACAAAATATATACCAATTAACCAATAAACAAAAATTTCATCTAAATTCCAATACTCACATGAGTATACAAACATAAAACATATCAATAATCATATCAAATAATTGACTATACACCTCCATCAATATCTAATATAATTTAATTGAGATTAGATTAGAATACCAAAAAACTTGCATGAATTTTGAACCAAATGGTGGTGGTGTGGAGATTTGGAACAAATTGAGGTATGATATTGGAGTAAAATTTAAATATGGGATCGGGTAGGATTTAGAATTTTAGGGTTGTGAAAATTACGGAATTGGGGATTGCGTGAATATGTGAAATTTAGGGCAATGGGATGAGGGAATGGACTTGGGGGACATGCTAGCTGGGAATTTAAAACAAAATATACACTAACGACTGCGTTTTGTATATTTTTTTAATTAAAAAAAATTAAAACAGTTGGCCAAAATGAGCATTTTGGGCCAACACTTAAAAAAGAAAGCTTCTTCACACGGTCGTCTTCTTCGAAGATGCTGTTGCAGTTTGCACACACAGGCCTTCGTCCTTGAGTGTGAGGGGTCCCTACAAAATTTCAAGCAACGATTCAGGGTTGCCAAGGGGTCTTGGGACCTCCCAGGTCCCTCTATGGGTTGGCCACTGATTATTAGGTACAATACGTAATGTATATATTATTTGCAGGTACATTTGAATTTGTAAAAATCATTTATTGGTACGTTTATATACAATTTTAGTACGTTTGAGTTGGTATATATTGTTGACATTAGTACATTATTTTTATTTTGGTACATTTGATTTCGTTCCCTTTGTGTATTGGTATGTTTATGTTGTTATCAATCCTATTTTCTCTCAATGTTCTAAAACAAAATTCTATTTTGTTACGTTTGATTTTGTGGGATTTAAAAATTATTTTAAATTATTTTGAAAAGTAAAAAAAATCTTAAATTGTACATAATCATTGCTAAATTGTAGCATTATTGTCAAAGTAAATTGAAACTAACCAACTTTTTATTTTCTTTTTTTTATTTTATTTTTTGCAATTATCTCTAACGCAATAGAGTATAATCATAAGGCTAGATTATAGGAAATTTGTTTCAATATGATGGCATGTCATGTAATTTTGGTAAAGAAAATTATTATTCTGATACATATAGCATCAAAATTATGACAAAAAAAGTTTAATTGAATCACTAAAAAGGCATGGATGTTTAATCTAGAAAATTCAAAACTGACGCGCCTATATCAAAAGATCCGTGTTAAGGTAATTGGAATTGATAGGAATACGAACACTAACACAACTGATAGGAATTGATAGCGTTGTGGTATTCATAAAAGGGTAACAGCCCGTTTTATTATCAAAGCAAAGGCATTGATCAACATCCTTCAGTCACACACATGCACCCACCACCAAAGAGTGGAAGGCTGACCATGAAGAAGAATCAGAACCCATTCCCTCTTTTTTCCAACACTCACATCATGATTCACGGCCTCCATTTTTATTCTTATATCACTATAAATTATATCCATATAACCCTAATATATTCAAAACACAAAAGCATAGTGTTTGACGCTTGAATTTAATAATATTTTTTATCACCTCTCACCATTTTCTCGCTCTGTGTCTCTAACTGTGACGGCCATTAGCATGGTGGCTCTTTGCCTCAAACCCTTCTTCAGTGGGCTTCCTGGAGAAAGTTAGGTGGACCCCAGGATCATGCTGAGTGAGAGAACCGTTGTACACAATCGAGTTGTTGATTCCTTGAACATTGCTGTTCGTGAAAGTACTAGTAGGCTTTGATGCTGCAGCTTTCCAAGCTCTGTGACTTTTATCCTTGCTTTTGTGCTTGCCTTCCTCGCCGCCACTGTCGCTGCTGCTGCTGTGGCTGCCCTGATCAGATTGAGTCCCCATTAAGGTTTTTCCATTTTCTGTCTTATGAAGGTAATGAGAATGCTCCTCACTTCCATGTTTCTTTGGGGATTTTATGAGTTCCATGAAAGCTCCTCTATTTTCCCCTGCAATGGTGATAACCCTCATACCAGCTGCCTCATGATCGGAACTAGGTGGCGACTTCTTCCGAGATATGAGTCTCTCTTTTGTTTCTCCTTCATGCTTTGCGTTGTGGGAGTTGCTGATAGGCTTTGGGGACTCGTGAAAGTCCGCACCTTTTGAGTTTCCGGAGGTGAAGCTGCCAAACCATGAATTGGGTTTTTGTTGATCAATGGTTTTCTGTTGGACCAGCACTGTCTTCTGCTCTGCCTCAATGGGAAACTTGGGTTGGTCAGTTTGATTATCTGAAGTGTTTGGCCTTAGCTGAGATGGTGGAAGAGTGAGAGGAGAGGGCGGTGGGGCGGTTGGTTTGAGTTTTGGTGACTGAGGTGGGGTTTGAGTCACGGCGGGCCTGATGGTTTTGGGAGATTGGTGGTTGTAATTATTAGCCTCCCTAGCAGTGGATGAAATGCTGGTGGGTTTTGGTGGAGAATAAGTTTGTGGTGGCAGTGGTTTAGATGATGAAGGAGAAATTGCAGCGGCTGAGATGACGGGTTTTGGCGGAGAGGTGGTGGTAGTTTGTGGTTTGTAGGCTGGAGAATGTGACACTGAATCAGTAGTAGAAGAAGTAGTGGCCTTGGTTCTACTGGGAGAAGGTGCCCCTGAATATGATGGGGCTGCAGAAACTCTGGATACAGGAGATGATGGTACGGAAGAAGATGCAGCTTTCTTAACTGATGATGATGGAACTGATGCAGTAGTCACAGGAGGAGGAGGTGATTTTGTGGCTGCAGGTGGTGGTGGTGGAGCAGTGGTGACAGGTGGTGGTGCCACCGTGGCAGGACGAGGTGGTGGTGCCACTGTGGCAAGACGAGGTGGTGCTGCCATCGTGGCAGGACGAGGTGGTGGTGCCACTGCAGCAGGAGGAGGCGGTGGTGGTGCCACCACGGAAGGAGGAGGTGTTGGTGGTGTCACTGCAGCAGGAGGAGACGGTGGTGGTGCCACCGCGGGAGGAGGAGGTGGTGATGGCAGAGCAGTGGTGGTGAGCGGTGGAGGTGGTGGGGGAGTAGGCTCAGGAGGAGAAACAATTGGCCTCATTGTAGGTATAACCATTAGGGCGGGGGCAGGAGCAGGGGCGGGGGTTGGGGCTGGGGCTGGGGCTGGTCGGACAATGGAGCCTAGCCGGAACCATGGACGAGAAGGCTGGGATGCCATAGGTGATGACAAGGAAAATCAATTGGAGGGAGTTGTATTTGTAATTGTAGTTCTAGTTTAGTAATATATAACACAAAGAAAATTGAACTTAGAACAAAGGAAGAAACATAGGAATTGGAAACGATGAGACATAGGTTCATAGGTGTGTTGCTATTTATAGTTTGGACAAGTTTTAAGTACAAGAAACTTTAGGGTTTGACACAAAATGTTAGGGGAGAAGTCTGAAATAAAAAAAGAAGGAAGTCGTGAGAAACATGCTGAGAGAAGAAAGAAAAGCATCAGATGCAGAAAAGCACTTGAAGTTGAGCTATTTGGGGGAGGGACAAGGTACCAAAAATTAAATTTGACGATGCAAGATTGGTATCAAATGGTGTAAATTAGAAGAGTGATATTTTTTTTGTGTGGATGACCTCCTTCTTTGTTATTGGGGGATTCTTTGAACTAAAGGCAATATCTGCAACAATGTTAGTAGACAATTTTAATAGAGAAACTATTGATACACTACTTGATAACAATATTAATAGACAGCTAATTGGAAACATAAATTACCCCATCAATTTCTATTATGTTCTTCTCTTCTTGGGATACATGTCTTCAGTGCTTGAGTCTCTTTCAGTCCAACCGTTTTATTTTTTAATTATTTGTTTGTCTAAGGTCACATACATTTTCATTTTTAATTTGGAATACAAAGAGGAATGCTAGTTATTTTTTTCTTTTGTCTTTTTTTTTTTCCCGACCTTCCCCATTTTTCTATCTAGAGACGCATAGGGGATTAAAACTAGTTTTAGTTCATCAAATTCAGGTTTTCTCATTGGAGATGTTCTAACATGCAATATTGTTCAATAAAGTGCTATAATTGCATTCCTCAAACACCTTGTGCATTTCTCTAGGAGAATGCAAATAACAATATTACGTGGAGTTCACGCGCTCTTCTGTTTAAATATTAGCAATGCTCATGAGAAACTCTTATTTTCACTTTTAAAAAAACTATCACACACTCCTGTTAAAGAATAAAAAAGTGAATCTAATTTTGAACATGATTATATCATTTTCTAAATAAAATAAAAGTAGCTTCTTAATCTGTATAACATCAATAGAATCTAATATATTTATCATGTTGATCTGTATCCTAAATTTATTATCAGAGACGTATTCTGACAATTTAAATCTGGCCTTCTAAAGGCAACCTCAATTGTCATTTTCATAGACGTAGCTTGTCGAATTTACAAATTGGCGGCTCACTTTGTTGCTTATACTGTAAAATTGGCTGGCTAGCAATTGAAGTAGCATATGATGCGGTTCTTCTGAGTTTACTATGTTAGCTAACAGTATAAAGAAACACTAGGTGCTAGTTGTTGGGATTCTTCCACATTCTTAACGATCACAAAACAAACTAAAACATTACTACTATTCTCACCTCTCACTGTAATTCGATTCTTCAAATCGTCTGAGGATTTAATGTCCCATGCACTAATTAACCTACGTCTGCGGCTTGCTCTTGACTTTGCTTGTGATGCTATTGTTAGCTGCTTTTACTTTCACTTTTCATCTATCTTCAGGTCCATCAGATTCTTCAACTCATCAAGGGGCCTTCATCACTGTATGGATGACCGCTTTGGTTAATTTCCTTGAGCGGAAAGTATGAGGCATCTTATTTTCTTGTTTAGAGTCATTTTTGTTACCTACAAATCATAGTTTAACACGTGTGTTGAACTTTTAGTTTCGTATCTTTATTTAGTCATTTTTACACACGTGTTAGACTGTTATTCGGATATAAACGAAATTGACTCATTAACTGTAAGGACCTCCACAATTTTCTTTTTTAACTATAGACTATGGAGCATGGGGGAAGATGAAGGAAGGCAGCAATCTTGTTGTTCCAAAAGCAAAAATCAACGAGTGATTGATTCTCGAGAGTAATGCTAGGGAAACTAAATTTTGGAAACTAAAGGACATGGATGTTGATGATTGGTTTATTACTTAAGCGTTGATAGACATACTCATTTTTATTTGTGACACATTATTTAGTTTGTAATTTCAGTCTTTAAATTTAGTCTCCTTAGTATTACTCGATTCCTAACATCGAAAAAGTAGGGAGCAACAAATAAAGGTTGAGATGTGGCCCTAAGAATATCTGCCTTTTCCTTCCTTTTTCTTTTAACTGGTACTTTGGAAGACAATTCTATCAAGCTCCATTGTCTAATTAGATGAGGAAAACACACTGAGACAGTCACAATGCAATGCACCATGCTCTTCATATGAGACAGTCACAATGCAATGCACCCTGCCCTTCATAGAAATGGAATATAAGACCTACAAATTCGAACTGATACTGTGGCTAAAGTTTGATCAATTAATAAGAGTATTTTAAGCCAATATTCGTTAGGAACTTCTCATACTGCATTGTTTTGGAAATTCGGAATATGACATCATATCCTTGCCTTGGATCTGAGGGAAAGCACAAACTTCATGTGCATGCTAGGAATACCTTGTACGTTATACCCCAATACCTTTAGCCTACTCATTTATGTATCCGGTAAAGCTACTTGAAGAAACGCCAAAGTTCAGATCTTTTTCATTTCATCCGATCCGATGGCCGAAAATTAGAAGGGTGTGTGAGAAGTAAAAAGGGGTGTGTGGATATCACACCCCTTTCCATATCTCTAGCTATTTGTTGCTCTTACATTGCAAGATTATAAACTCTCGTTCATAAACATTCATAGCCTAGTTATTGAAGGTAGAAAAAAAGATGTAAATATGCTCATAATTGAAATCTATATCAAGCAATAAGAGTAAAACTGATTACCAATGTGCTACTACGGAATCAGTTTGGACTCGATTGATAGCAGATTCAGCTTTGCCGACTTTTGTGACTTATGAGGATTGATGTGCATTGATATTATCTTATGTGATTTAGCTAGAACAAGAAGCGTGTCTGGTGGAAATGAAGTGAACTATGAACATCAATGCAGAAAATTACATTGGTTCCGGAATTTCTTTGGATACTAGGAAGAAACAAGGACGTAAACAATTGCATGACAAAGACCAACTTTAAGTCTTTAAGCCATTCCCAATGCTGCAGATATTAAAGGAAACACACTACACGTTCATTTGATCGTTGATGATTTCAAATGAGGGTTGAACATAAATAAATCGAAAAGAAGAATAATGTTGTTACGGCAGTCAGCCAATGCTCTCCAACATAAATCGGTACTAGGCAAAGGAAATATATCTTAGTATGTATTTTCTGGCACTGTACAGCATAGAATTAAATTCTCTTTAACATATACAAATATTTAACTGGAATGGACAAAGCATCCGATGCTTAAAAGTAATTCTTAGCGCTTAATGAAGATAATTTTGGGTACAAGGCTATCAAAATTAGCAGAGGAAAAAAGGGAAAGAACATAGGTTTGAAATTGCAGATGGTAGCTAAACTAATATCCTCACCCTTTGGAATGTCTGCAATTCAAGGCCATTTAGTGAACTCGAACACTTTCAGAACTATCTCCCATCCAGTAGGTATTTGCCACACGAAAAGAAGAACGTTTATCACATTCAGCGCAATGTGCAGGTTTCTGGCTGTCTCACTTCCCTTTTGCATTGCAGGCGTAAGAGCTGCAGCTGCTGCCCATAGCACCGTGATAGCTGCTCAGAATAAGAAAAATCAACTCAATTCAATTAAGGCTTCACTAGCATCTATTTTATGTTATTTTGTTTTAATTTCAAACTGAAATCCAAACTTTACCTGCCCCGGCAAACAAATGGGGACCTGGAAATAGCTTTCCTGTCCTCAACCATGTGTTAAGTCCTCCACCAACTGACTCAAAAACCCCGAAAGCTAACAATATTGATCCTGCATTGTAATGTTTATCCCGGTAAGATCCTTTCACCAACTCCTTCCTTTCCTGATAAGGAAACACTGATACATCAGAAACTTTAATGGAGTAAAACATGTCATGACATATAGCACTAAATTTTGTAGAAACACAAATTTTGCTTTACACAAAAATGAATGCCACACACATAATAGTTGAAGTTAATTTACAATTATATGTTAAGTATTATACTCAGTTTTCTTCAACTTTGATCTCATTTGTTGACTTGTTGATTGTTTTAGGGTAAAACAATCACTTAGAGCTTATCCTATATGTTCTTGTCTCTAGCTGGTTCATTGCTTAGATTTAGGTTAAACCGCCCTAATTTGATACTTTCAAATCTAAAATTGAAGCCCTATGGGTCCATTTTTTACACTAAATTATCAAACTATGACACTAAATGGGAGCAAAGTTCAAGAAAAATGAGCGGAAGTGAGATTTTCTCAAAGTGTCCCAATTATAAAAAAGATAAGACGTCCTACACAAAGAACTTATGTGTGACCTAAACAAGTATAACAATAGTGTATCTTTTCCAATCCACAAGAAGGAGGCCAATTTCATTCATGGAATACTTAAAGGAAGCATACATTGCATTCAGCACATATTTTGGGTTAGAAGACAACCTCAGTAAGCTGCTGAATTTTGAGTGCAAAAGGGGATGGGGGAGCTTCCACTGGAGTCCCCTCAGGTGTGACAGGGGTAGGCTTCACCTGCTTCTTGAGCTCATTAATTTCTTCCTGGATTGTCCTCACTCTCCTCCACTGCCAACCCAAGTAACCTGCCCACAATGTGTACACAAACAGCCCTCCCATCACAATTGGGTGTATCAGAGCAAATGTCCTTCCCTCTAATATCCCAAACTCCCCACCTGCAGCAAGTGCATCCTAATCCACACACATAAAATCAGAAGAAAAAAGAATAGTAAATTGGAAAAAATCATTCCAACAACTATAAGTTTTATACAAAAGCACGGCAAGAGTTCACTATGTTATACAAAAGCGGCAAGAGTTCACTATGGCAAAAAGCTCTTTCATCTATCCACGTGACATGCTCTAATTGATTCTTAGTTGGAAATATTTTGGTGTACATCTAAAGTTATCTAGTATTAGGTTTGAAGCGTTT